AAAGGCATTGTTATTTTCCAACATATTACATTTTTTGATGTTATTTGTACTGTATTGATCTGTCCACCTAAAATACATTTTTGGTGAAAAGGATGAGGATGAAAGAAGAAGGGAAGAGATGGCTGGATGACATGATTTTGTTTGAATAAGAAAATAATGTATGAAATTTGAATTTTATTATATATATTTATAATATAACATAGGTTATGTCCTTTGTTTTTTTTTTTGGTTAGTAGAAGTTCTGAATGGCCGGTAACTTAATTTAGTAGCCAAATTGGCGTGAAAAAGTATAGTTCCTTCAAACCCTGGTGCTATCGTGTCTCTGGGCCGGAGATGCAGCGGTTCGCGTGACACTAACATGAAACCAAACTTCATTCATCTAAATGGAAAGCGTATTTACACTGTCTGAATCATTCCATATCCCCTTTATAGAGCACTACGTGTTACATATTCACCATGTAGAATATAGTTAACGTGTGAATAAGTGACAGATTTCAGCCGTAGCTTCAGCATCTATTTATAGTGTAGGGGGCGGGGCTTCATATTCTAGAGAGCATTTGATTGGACAGAAAATCTGATGATAAGCTGAAGTGCAGAGTGATGTCATCAAAACCATTTATCCATATTGTCAGAAGTGAGAGACTGTTAGTTTTGAACGATAATATTTTCTAAATGAGAATTGTGTCATTGTTTTGAAGCACACTAGCTTATAGATAACAGTAAGGCTAACATATTCATACTAAAAGCCAAAAAACGTCAATTTTGATTTCAAGGGGACTTTAACCAATAAGCAGTGCATGGACCGATAGTGTGCTTTAAAGAGGGGGGGGGGATGCTGGAACTGTTCCAGTTCTGGATTCCCAACCCTAAATGTTGAATAAATAATTGTTTATTATATGCTGGCTTTAAATAAATACGTTTCACCTTCCTTTCAAGCACAAAAGACAGAAAGTGAATGTTCCTGCATGAGCTTTTTTTTAGCGGTTCGCCCAAGCCTGCAGGAAATTATTTGAACACGTTGAGACATCCTTGGCATGCACGTTACGAACGCCGCCGTCTGTTCAGCGTCTCAGCTCTACACGTTCAAATCCTATCAATCAATGTTCGCCGCTTGTCTGAAGGAAGAGGCTGGCAGCCTTTCAAAGCGCTGTGGAAATCTTTCCACTTTGCTGCGCTGCCCATATGGCGGGATGTTCTTGTCGGTGTTCGCCGTGTAAAAACTCTCTTTCCACTGTTCATTTTTTCTGCCCTGCTGCCTTTCCCTGCAAAGAGACTTCTAATATTTATCGACTCGAGGTTTACATATGTCTGGACTTCATGGGTTAACACTGAAGGGGGGAAATGGTGCAGTGGCCTTTTCGGTGGGAAATATTGCAACTTTCACTCTCTCTTAAAGCTCTCTGCAGAAGAGGGACTGATGCGTAGAATTAACCTTCACAATGTTCGTGTTTCTCCGACAAGCCTTTTGAGGTTTGAAAGTCTAATGTAAATAGCATAAGGTCGCCAGGGGCTTCTGTGAATTCAAGTGCAGTATTCCTGGAACACTTCTGAAGACATTCTTACAAAAAACACAAGACATCTGCCGAAGAAAAGACTGGTGTCATAATGAAGCATTATTGGGCTTAAAGTTAATGGCTGCAATTAAAGCTATTAAATTAAAAGAATGAACAAGATACCAAAGCCACTTTAGCAGGGACAAAGGTTTAGCATCAAAATCCATGTGATAAAAGACAAAGAATAAAAGGAAAAACGTCTTTATACGTCTAACTTCGCTTTGGCAGGACTCATTTTCAAAAGTCACTAACTTTTTGACGAAACTCAACTTGAAACTGAACCCATAACATTTTTTGTGTTAAATTACACTACACAATGGGGGTAAAAATGTGAGCAGGTTCGTATGAATGTACAGTATTGCTCAAAAGTCAATTTGTAGTGAACATTTGCACACATTTTGATCTACAGTACTTTAAAGGGGTAATGAACTGAATTTTTATTTTATTGATGTTACCTGAGTAGGATTTTTACAATTTAGAAATATTTTCGAAATAAAAGGCCATTTTAGCGCTCTGTTTGAAGACACTTCAATGTAAACGCCCACTGATGTGAACATTTTGCATATGAAATAAGTATTGTGGAACTCTCTCTAAATGTTTTACTACGTTTTTACTATTACAGCTGTCGAGATTAACTATTAATCATGACAAGTGTTGATTATAGCGTTATATTTAGATTGTGGCATGAAAGGTTGCAGTGATGAACATTAGAAAGATGACAGACAGTCTGTTGAGCGCATGAATGCAGTGATCTCGTCCTTGCAGCTCAGTTTCTGCACTCTCACCGATGCTTTTATCATAACTAACAGTGCAAACACAATGTAAATAAGATATTTATTGATTATACAGGGAGTTTTGGCAAGAGTCCCAAACTCGCGCTGTTTGATTGACAGCTCCAGCGATTATAAAGGGAGTGTTCTTTGATCGATTTCTGTATATAATTTAAATCACAATTTAAATAACAGATTATTTTCATGGTACTAAAAGAAACAATGTGAAGTTGATTGTCAAGTCAATGGCTTGATTTACTGACGCATAAACAGCAATAAACGATTTTGAGAATGGATCATATCAGAAATAACTGATCACAGATTAGGCATTAGAATTAACGGTTACTCACTTAGTAATGTTGTGGCATTACTGTTGGCTCCATATTTTACTGTAAAAGACTGTTTTCAAAGCCTGCGACAAAATTTTACTGATTTACCAAAAGTGAAATGTACTGAACAAACAAATAGAAGACATTTACATAGTTGAATGCAATATATGAATAATGAATACACATAAATAAGCACGTTCATAGCATAAGAATCCTAGGTACTGTTATGATTCTGCATCTCTCCTTCTCATCTTACTAATGCTCCAGTGGGCAGGACCAAAGACGCAATGATGTCGAAAGTAGACATTGATTTGATTCTGCAGAGGCCGTCTTTTGTCGCAATCTTACGTCATAATGTGACAAAATTCCCAAAATACTCGTTTTCTGAGCTTGGATTCAATAAAAGTTGTTTTGGGACTAACAAAACCTCTTACATGTTAAAAGATCAAGGAAATTTTGATTTCTCAATTCATGGCCCCTTTAAATGTTATTAAACTGCAACATGCATTATGTGGCATACAGATATTTATAGTTTTGCAACGTAATACAGACACATAAAACGTAGGGCTAAGTGAAATTAATTTTACAAATGTATTGAAGAGAGCTGCCAATGAAGGGGCCAAACATTTAGAAAAAAATATCATTAGCAGATTAATCAAAAGACAGTGCGAAAGGGATTGTTTTAAATGACCGTTACTGATAAAAGGCACGTTGGTCATATTTAATTCTATATCACCCTAATTAAAGTCTTTGAAACGGTGAGCAATAGACATACAACACCAGCAGCCTCTATTAATAGTCTCGGCTCATGACTTCAGAGGGAGCCGTAACTCTGGGTAATTTTATTAATAAAATCATCTCTCTCCAGAATTCCCCTTCCATTTCCAATATCATCCTTTATGGGTCCCATTTAGACATCAGCTCCTCTTTTCCTGGCACACACACACACACACACACACACAATCTCTTAATTACTGCTGCACAAGTCGCTTATATCTCTACACCATACTATGGCTGGGCAATACAGCTAAAAAAAAAAATCGTATATACGTACACTACCGTTCAAAAGTTTGGGGTCGGTACGATTTTAAATACTTTTAAAAGAATTCTCTTCTGCTAACCATGGCTGCGCTTATTTGATTAAAAATACAACAAAAATCAGTTATAGTATTAAATATTATTCCAGTGTAAATCAGCTGTTTTCTGTGTGAATATATAGTAAAGTGTAATTTATTCCTGTGATCAAAGCTGAATTTTCAGCATCACCAGTGTCAGTGTCTTCAGTGTCAAACGATCCTTCACAAATCAGTATAATATGAGGATTTGATGCTCAAGAAACATTTATTATTATTATCAATGTTGAAACAGTTGTTGGTCTGTCAGTTGTACAGTTTTTTTTGTTTTTTTTTTGGATTCTTTGATGAATAGGAAGTTCAAAAGACTTTTGTAACATTATAAATGTCTTTACTGTCACTTTCGATCAAATTAATTATTCCTTGATAAATAAAAGTATTTATTTATTTCCTCCAAAAAATAAAAATAAAATTCTCACTGACCCCAAACTTTTGAACGGTAGTGTATATATATATATATATATAGGCTATAGTAAAGAAATATCACTACCATTGTTTTGGGATGGTTTTCCACACTGTTTTTGCACTGAATGAGCATGGAAGTATAATAAAATAAAAACAGCAATATTTACCAATCCATTTTTAATTAAGTACTTAATATGAAAAATGCTACGGAGAGTTATCTCATTTTCAAATGATGAATTTGCAAAGTTATCGATTCATTGCAAATGACTGTTTGAACTTAACTGCATTTTTTTGCTACTGAAGTTTGCATCTTGCAAATCAAAGATGGAGATCACAAATCAAATCAGATAAAACAGATTTAAAAACGCTTTAAAGGTATTGCAATTTTCAATATAAATGTTAATTATCATCACAAATATTTTGTGAATAATATTGCCCAGCCGTGCAACACTTAAAAACAAACTTGCACACAAAATCGCTTTGAGATTCCTCTCAAGCATAGCTAATGTAGCTAAAAACACAGGCATATTCCACCGAGGCGATAACAAGATCTTAAGAGAACCTGTTTTAGTTTGGCCCTCATAGATATAGAAGAAATGCAACAGCCAAACTTGTGCTTGATCAGTCTTAGTCAACTAGCCTGACGCTATCCACACACTTAAAGCATTTGAGAATTGCCTCATTTAAATGCACAGCGCATGCATCTCTCTTGGCTTTCATTGTGCTGCAATATATTTTCCCTAGCATAGAAAAATAAGCAGCAAGAGTGCACCCGAAAACACGTACGTGACAAACATGCGGCAGTCCTACCTTTCCAACGTAAAGTGGCTCCGTCCCGGTGTATTCCTCCACAACGAAAAACTGATTCCAAACCCATCCTCTCTTCACCCTTTCATGAGACATCGCCCATTGCTCAGGACCTCTTTCTGTCATCCCAACACTAGTCCTTATGGTCTGACCGGACAGCCATCCACAGCACTGCAAAATTCCCAGAGTCACTGCCAAAACCTGAGCTCCTCCTCTCCAGTGGGGAGCCATGTTTGAAAACTCTCTCGTCTCTACATGGGGCAGAAGTTAGAAACTCGTTCAGGATGAAGTTTTCTTCCCAACTGCCTGATTGCTTGAGAAAAGCTCCTTGGCTCAGAGGTTGAGGAAGGTAAACGAGAGTTCACTGCTGCTCAATGAAACTATAAATCCAATAGGTTTTTGGTCATTTTTTTTTCCAATCGGAGAGGCCACTGGGTCCTCAAGAGGGCATTTAAGAGGAATCTTTCTTGAGAAGATGAGGCAGTCTCGGTGATACACAGCTATAGCTCCTCCGTTTTGAAATCTGTGTTGGGTTTTTTCAATCACAAAGCCATTGATGTCTTATTTCTCCTTCAGTTGAGTTTTAAGTTGAAGAGCTACTGGTCAAAAATGCAGACGTCAATTCCATCGTGAGTCCGGAAATTAATTAACACTCCACGATAGCTTCATTAATAAAAAGGATAAAATCCAATTTCCTCTACACCTTTTCATTTCCATGTATGTACATTTCACATCCAAAAAAAGAAATCCTCAAATTTCATGATGCAAGATGTTACTCAAAGTCGAAGGCATCATTATCACAATCTAGACGTCGAGATCCAGAGGTCGCAGACTCTTATGCGTCACCGGAGCTTAAAAGGTACTTGACCTGCAGGTTTGAGAGTTTGACATTGGTGCGTTCATGTCGACCTCAGCACCAGATCACCTGTAACACAGCAAAGATAATTGATTAGAGGAGCAAGAGAGCATATTTAAATAGCTGTGCAGCTTTTTCCAGTTGCAATAATCAATAGTGTATCGATTCTTGGCTTCTTGTTATGGCGTTCTCATTCTCGTTAAACAAATACATAATTCAATAAGTGCCACAGTGAATTTGCAGTCCTCTCCGACACACAAAGTGATTTTAAAGTGGTTGCGGATCTAAACTCTTTGACTTTCTCTCGTATTTCATAGAAATGCAGCAAGAAAACACACCTTCATTTAGGCGATCTACCTGAAAAGCATTTCTGAAGGCAGAAACTTTGTAGTCAGCAAGAATCCGGATAATGTGTTAAGCCCAAGAGCAATGTCTTCTGTGTTAGGGAGCCAGGTGTGGTTGGAAAAGGAAAAAAGGGAGGTTTATATATCATGAACTTGAGCCCAAAGCATCTGTCTGCCGAGTTGCGGCCCACGGCAGGCGGCTTACACTGGGGGCTATCTGATTAATTGCATGAGGGAGCACTAATTGGATAAAAGTATTAATCAATTAATTCAATCCATTAGAGCAACAACCCTAATGCTTAAAACAAACACTGGTCAGGAAGGTGAAGATAAGCTATGGCCCTATTGTGCATCAGCCAAAGCGCCATTGGGCAGGAGAAATGATTAATGGTCTTTGAGGCTTTCAGAATAAGAGAAAAACAACAACATTTAGCATTGCTGAAATGTCACAACCTCAAGGCTAAAAGATTACAGCTCCTGCGGACGAGCGTGGGCCAAGAAAGGCCCTTCAGGATATTGGTTGTTTAACCTTTGGCAGACGGTTGCAGACGGAAGGCTAACGTTCGGTTTGCGTCATCCAGCTAAGACGTCCTTACTGAAACATCTTGAAACAGAAACGAACTTCTAAAGAGGGTAAAAAATTAAACCCCAGCACTGAGGAAAAGGGAATAAAGATTTGCACACAACAACAGACAGGAATATGTATTAACACTGTGAACATAAATGGTGAAAAACAGGACATCGACACAAAGCTGTCTTGAAAACCTGGTAAAATTAGCACATACTGTATGTTTATTTTTTATGTCTGAGAGATAAAATCACCTCATTATCAGCCTTTGGGAAGACAGTTAGGCCTGGTGATCTTATTTTACCGCAAACCGTGAGTATCGAGAGAGACAGGCTAAGCGCGAATGTCCAGAATTTCAATGCTTTCGCTATCATGCTAAAAATACCATGTGCAATTTGCACAGTAGTAGGTTCCAACCTATTGCAATCTGATTGCACAATACCCACACTAGCACTTTAGCAGATGGTAAATAGTGAAACACTGACTTTTGTTTTGATCATGCCTAGTGCATTTCCTAAAGATAAACATGCCGTTTTCACCAGGGTAGCTTATTGAGCTTATTAGCCAGCTGCAGTACGGATTCATGCTTGATTTTTTAGCTTATGCAATCTAGCTTTTTTAATAGGGATATTTTGATATACCAAAGCAAAAGTTGACAAAGGTTGTCTGCACTAACCGTTATATTTTTTGATGCTAAGGGGTTGTGACATGCGTGACATTTAGCTACGCTTCAACTAGCATCTCAGGTCAAGCGGTGATTCGGGTCACACTTTGCATCTAAACGCTCAGGATGGAGAAAAATGAAGTTCAGTACAAACAACTGATCCTTAAAATATGTACACAGTTTAGAGTATGGCTGAATACAAACAGAAAACATCAGAAAGCCCCCCAAAAATCTCTATTATGACTTCAAACCACAAGCCTAAAAAAATGCCAATCAAACGAATCAGTCAATCAATCAAAAGCATCAAACAGCCAGCTTTTACATTTCATTGATCAAACGTAATATTTTTCATGTTTCCAATTAGTGTGAAGTGTTCTTGTCTTAAGAGGCAACTTCAAAGTAATGTTGTTTATTTCTTTTTGCCTCAAAGAAAAACTATTTAGGGCAAGTCAAGATTAGTTCCTTTTTGACTATCTAGAGTTTCCTGCAAAAGGCCTGACCAAGTACATATGATAAATAATAAACTATTTGTATCAAATATTTTCTCTGGTTGAATGCACTCCTCTGAAGTAGTTTTCCTCAAAACTCTCAACCCTTTGGCGATTAACACGGGAAAAATAGCAAAAAAATTCCCTCAAATTAAGCCTCTCGTTGTGCGCTCTTGAAATTTTTTGTGTATACACAATTCGGCCCTTATTAAGATGTGGTATGGAGCGTAAATGAAGGGTTTGGCTCTTCAGGGTTGGCCATTCTCTTAGCTAAGTAGGACGACGTCAATTAGTGAGTTTCTGTGGAAAGGCTGGTCGTGTAAAGTTGATACAGTCGTAATGCCTCCGCTACCACCCAAAACGCTATTGGCAAGCCGGACGCGCTCATTCGTGACCTATTAGGTCGTGGATTGATTATAAAACATGGCTGCTACTTCTCATCAGACACCAGCCTGAGAGCAGAGGCCGTGACAGTCGGCAACCGGAGCCAGAGAGGAGACTGATCACCGGCGAGTGATGGGCTTCAGGCCAGAGACCGAGAAAGAGACCATACCTCTCTCTCTCTTCCGACAATCTCCTTTTCACCTGCACGACATCCATCCCTTTAATGGGAATCAACGACTGCCTTTTAGCCGCTCCTGCACAAACAACCACAACGCTTGTGAGGAGAAAGCACTCTTATATATGTTTTGCTTCCAACTTTGGAAGAGCCGGACCGTCTTTGTCAAAACCGTTCAAGTGAGAAAAGATCCAAAAGATCAGACTGATTAAAATCTGGGAGGGTTTTTAAAAGAAAAACAGTATTTGGAAACTAATAGCCTGAGGTTAATAAGCTGAGCTGGCCCTCTTCTACGGCTGTGCGATGTTTTGATGTGTGATCCGATTATACGTTTGCCAAACACTCCCCCAAGCATGTATCAATGCATGAAAGCTCTCATCAAAGCCAAAGCACATGGACTTCTAATGACTGTGGTCATTTAAAATGAAACCACAGCCGGAGTCAAATTCCCACACCTTGACTATTACAATCCGACATTTAAAAATCATGTAGAAATGACATATACTGTACGTGACATATAATAATGACGGCTGATTAAGAAAGACTAACCAGGCAACACGAGCACTACTATAATAGGTGCAATAAAACAAAACACAGGCTTTAAAGTCAACAACAAATTCATTCAAGATTTCACTTCAGTAATATGGTGTATTTCTGAGTGAAACTGAACATCTAATGAACCAATGACATGATTGATAACAACATCCTACAATAATAAGTAAATAGATATTTGACTGTTGGTTACCATTAACCAATGACCAGCACTGCCTAGTTAGCAAAAAGAAAAGAAAAGCCCAAAAGGAAAGGTCATTAAAAAAAAAAAAAAGTGTCAGTCAGCGTTTGTTCAGATGGTTTGTAATACATTCAGTCATTAAACATGCTATTTCGGTGTAAACTAAATATTTGCACCACAGTTTATTACTGTTTATTAAAGTTAAAGTTTATCAATTTAAATAAACATTATTTTTTTAAGCATTTTTTAATTAAAAATATTTTGTATTGCACTTATTACCATATCATTTAACATGCTTCTTTAGAGTGAACTAAATTACACCACAGTTTTCAAAGTTAAGCAATATTTCAATTAATACTGTAATAAATTTAAATTAATAATTGAATACATTTTAAATAATGATCAAATATCGCACATCAGGGTATTTGTTCATCAATTAAGCACCATTAGTTTTAATTACCTGTTTTAAAGAAAAAAAAAAAAAACATGGCAACTAACATGAAGGCTTGCAGCTATATACAGTAAATGATTATGTACACAAAAAAAATAAGTACAAATAAACCCCCAATATTTTCTCTCAAATACAGCTGCTCGTCAAAACCCACTCAGTATTAGCGGCGCATATAGAAGTTAATCATGCCACGCACACAAATCCAAATATTTGGGAATGCGGCATCAATTATAGCAGCACTCGTGAACACCTGGACAAGCCTGAATACCTCTAGTGTGGCTTCACTCCTCCATTTGGCTGCGACTCTGAGCTCTAGAGACCAGCTATTATGCCCTGGAATGGGGATCCGGTTAGAAGTAGCCCCTGTCCAAGACACGCTGTTTCCTTGGCAAGTATAGTGAGCGTGTTGTAGGGCCGGAGCGGAGGGGGTGAAAGTGGACTGGATTGGCAGACTATGGCAGCTGTAATGGATTGAGCATCAAGAGTAAATGGTGCCGTAGCGTATGCTGCCTCTCATTAAGCCCCGTGTTTGCTTACAGGAAGTAATGAGAGGAGACGTATATTGTCACAGCCTTAGAAAAGCCGCATTGGTTAATTACATTAATTGTAGTTTGCTGCCT